GTAAAACTTCTGTCCAAGAAGTTGTTTGGTGGCACATTAAGGCTGCTTTTAATGTGCGGTGAAATCGTTCCACCATTCCGTTACTTTGAGGATGGTAACTCGTAGTTCGTAAGTGTTTGCAACCGATAACTTCAGCTAGTTGGTTGAACAATGAAGATTCAAATTGTCTTCCTTGGTCTGTTGTGATACGTAAGGGTACGCCAAAACGTGCGATCCATTGAGTAATCAGTGCGTTTGCGATGGTTTCCGCTGTTTGATCTGGGATCGGAATTGCTTCTGGCCATCGGCTGAAACGGTCGATGATGGTTAATATATATGTGCAGTTGTTTGATGGTGGTAGCGGGCCGACGATGTCTATGTTTATATGTTCGAATCTGTGTTCAGCGAGTTCATATTGACAAATAGGTGAACGGTTGTGACGTTGCACTTTAGAACGTTGGCATGGGATACATTGTCGCGTCCAGTTTCTGATATCAGCATTTATAGAAGGCCAGAAAAATTTTTCAGCTATCATTTTTGTTGTGCCCCGAATGCTGGGATGAGACAACCCATGCGTAGCTTTAAAGATATGTAGCCGGTATTTCTGCGGAATGTAAGGACGAATTCGCCCAGTTGAAACTTCGCAATAAATTTTATCTGATATTGTTGGTAAAGATAAAAGTTTGATTTCGATGGAATTGTTGTTTTTGATATCTTGTAGTTGTGGGCAACATCGTTGTAATCCAATTATACAATCGTAGTCGATTTTTGGGATGCTAATACTATCTATCCGCGAGAGAAAATCTGCTGGGATGTTGTCTTTTCCGCTGACATGAACGATATTCGTTGTAAATTGACCTACATAATCAAGCTGACGGACTTGACGTGGTGAAGCCTTGTCGGACTTTTGCTGGAATGCGAACGTGAGTGGCTTGTGGTCAGTTATTAATACGAATTCACGACCTTCTAACATATGTCGAAAATGTTTTATGCCCTGATATGCGGCTAACAACTCACGATCGTATGTGCTGTATCGTTTTTGTGTATCTGTTAATCGTTTAGAGAAAAAACCGAGTGGTTGGAACGTGCTGTCTGTCACTTGATGAAGAACTGCGCCGAGAGCTTTATCCGAGGCGTCTACTTGTAATGCAAGCGTAGCAGTTTTTGACGGATGAACAAGTAGTGTCGAGTTTGTTAGTTCATCTTTACATTTTTGGAAGATTGTTTTGTTCACTTCAGTCCAGCATAACGGTGTGTTGTCGTTCTTCTTGTTTCCTTTTATCATTTGTTGAAGTGCAGTTTGAGAATCTACAGCGTTTGGTACGAACCTGCGATAAAAGTTAAGTAATGCTAGAAATCTTCTTAATTCTTTTGTTTTTGTTGGAAGCGGGTACTCGCTGATGCTCTTCACTCGATCTGGTAGAGGTTGAATGCCCTTTTCACTGATGAGATAACCAAGAAATTTTACTGTGTTTTGAGCAAAAACGCATTTTGATACGTTTATTATTAAACCATGTTTTCTGAATCGTTCGAATACTTGTTGCAAGTGTTGCCTGTGCTCTTCCTCGTTTGCTGATGCAATAATGACGTCGTCAATATAGGCAAAGGCGAATTCGAGATCTCGTAATACTTCGTGAATGAAGCGTTGAAATGTTTGACCTGCATTGCAAAGTCCGAATGCCATGTTAGTAAATACAAATAATCCAAATGGAGTTATGATCGCCGTTTTTGGAATATCCCCCGGTTCAACTGGTATCTGGTGATATGCCTTAATCAGGTCGATGGTTGAAAAAACTTTTTGGTTATATAACATGTGTGCAAAATCATGTATGTGAGGAACTGCGTAACGATCTGGGATGGTGATTGCATTTAAGCGACGGTAATCTCCGCAAGGTCTCCAACTACCGTCTGTTTTTTTACCATATGTAAGGGGCTAGCCCAATTGCTGCTTGATGGACGGCATATTCCGGCTGTGACTAAGTTTTGGAATTCTTCTTTTGCTGCTGCTAGCTTGTCTGGAGGTAACCTACGTGGTCTCTCACATATTGGTGGACCTTTTGTTAATATGTGGTGAGTGACTTTGGTCACCTGGCGATTTGTCGGTGTTGGTTTAGTGATGTCGATGTATTCTTTTAGTAGATCTGCAATTTTGCAAGATGTGTTCACAGTTGATATTTTTTGCGCATTTACCTTACGTTCGCTTGCGGCTGAGAAAATCTTTGTTGATGTGTCGATCAATCGTTTCATTTTTATGTCTACTATTAATCCGAAATGATTTAAAAAATCTGCACCGATGATTGAAGTGTTTACATCTGCGATAATAAATGGCCATGTGAAATTTCTTCGTAAGCCAAGAGCTAGAGTTATCTCTATTTCTCCAAATGTTTTGATCATAGAACCATTTGCTGCGTAGAGTATTCTTTCGTTCTTATTGTTTGTATTTGAATTTTTTTGTTTGGCGGCAATAAGTGAAACATCTGCACCCGTGTCTATTAGGAATGATTTTTTTGTCTTATTGTCATAGACGAACAGTCTTGTAGATGTTTCGTTTACAACTTCCTCTGCCGCCGTAGACGAAGTCGGTTTTAGCTTTTTGTGCCATATGTGCATGGCTGCTTGCAATTTTTTGCATTTGACCCATATGTTCTATGATACCAACAATTTCTACTGGTCTTTTCTTCACTATCATCATGACATTGCCGGTTTCTGGATGTTGAACGTGAACGTTGATTTGTTCTTGAGCGGTGTTCGGTTGATAATTTCGAGACCATTTTCGTCAGTCTGGTCACTTCTCGTTGAAGTTGTTCGATTTGTGCATCACGTTAAATATGAGCTGCTGCAGGGACGTTAGCTGCATTGACGTAAGTTCCTTGCATTGTTGAGTTTATACGGATTGTTTCGGTTATGTTGTCTGCCAATTCCGCCATCTTAGGTAGTTCCACTTGAATTGTGGCTAGACATGTCTGTACTTCTACAGGAAGACGTTGTAACCATAACCCTTTCAGTAATTGTTCGTCTTGTTTGCTTCCACTAATACGTTGCAATTCGCTTAAAAGATGGGATGGCTTTTTATCCCCAAGCTGTAAACCACTAACTAATTTTTGTATGCGTTTTTGTTCACTATCCGCAAAGTTTTTTATTATTGCTTGCTTGATAGCTTCGTACTTCTGAGTTGCTGGTGGATTATGTATTGTGTTATAAATCTGTTCTAACAGCGATGCATCCAATGCTGCGATAACTGTGCCAAACTTTTGAGTATCGCCCCTTATGTTGTTGACTTGGAACCAGTAGTCCAACTGAATAAACCAAAGGTCAATGTTGTTTTTTATTAATGTTGACATCGGCAGCTTTATTGCAGTGATTGTTGCGTTTTCGTTGATTGGGTTAGTGTCTTCGGTTATCTTTTGCTCTTGAGTAGCCATTTTTGATATTCGGCGTCGGCTTGGTCACCAATGTAGTGGTTTTTTATGTTGGGGTTTTATTTCGAATTTAACACTCCGTATTGGTAATGGATAAGTTTATTTATTTCTTATAATTATTTATTATAAAATATTCTTAAAGTTAAGATTTGTGTTTTTTCGTTTTATTCACGTGCTGCTTTGTCTTTTTCCAAACTACTACTGGCGGGAACTGCGGATTTTGTTGTCTCCTTTGTGCCTTGTTGACAGTTCTTTTATTTATATTTTTTGGTGCTGCCACAAACTTATAATATTTTAAAATTAAATAATAATGACAAATTTCACTGGTCAACAAAGATTTTATCCTAGAGACGTTGTTAAAAGATCCTAGACGTGTTTTTCGTGCTGATTCCGAATCTGTATTTAGATTCTTTCTATCACGTCTAGATTCTTCAAAACAGTTGAATGTATATTTTTGCTATAAGGTCGTAATTTACCTACTGCTCAAAAAGTATCCGGATTTTGTTGTTTGTTAACTACTTTTTAAGTAATAGACCTTTTTCAAAAATTTTTTGTTATGTTGGTACACCCTTTCTTGACATATGATACAAATTTCAGCGCCATCTGACAATTAGTTTGTTTACAGCAGCTGTTAATGTGAGACTACCTCAAGTGCATTTAGCGATTTTTACTGTAGAAAATTCTTGTTGTACGCGATTTTTTGACCAAACACGGCACCACTGTCATCGCTCAGGCACCATATTCGCCAGATCTGGATCCGTGCGAGTTTTTTCTGTTCCCGAAACTCAAATTGCCCCTTCGTGGTAAACGTTTTGAGTCGATTGAATCGGTAAAAGAAAATTCGCTGAAGGAACTAAAAGCCATACCTTCACGGGCCTTTGAAAAGTGTATGAAAGATTGGGTTAAGCGTTGGGTATTTCATTAATATATGATATATATAGTATACATTATTTTCGTGATGTAAATATATGTATATAAATAACGTGGTTAATAAATATGTATAAATAATAATATTACGAATTAATAAATCTGATGGACCTCATCTTATAACGCAAGACGATTTAAACGATCTAGAGCGCGATTTAAAGTTGTGCAAAAAGAAGAGTGAAATCTTAGGATCACGATTAAAGGGTTGGAAATTGTTGGATCCAAAAACTAAAATTTCTATGTATCGATCTCGCCATGACGAATTTAAATTATTCTTTTCTCAAGAAAACAACCTTATTTTTTGCAATGATGTTCTATCTATTATGGATACTCTTAATTTTGAATACAACGATGATGATTGGCGTTTGTTCATTGATTCTTCTAAGGTCAGTTTAAAGGCTGTTCTCTTACATAATGGAAATGAAATTCCCTCAATACCGTTAGCCCATAAAACTGATATGAAAGAAACTTACGAGATATAAGATATAAGTGGAAAATTTGTGGTGACCTAAAAGTTATTGCAATTTTACTAGGCTTACAACTTGGTTACACAAAATATTGTTGCTTCATCTGCGAGTGGGATAGCAGAGACAGAAAATTGCATTACTTGAAAAAAGATTGGCCACAACGTAAAGCACTCGTTCCTGGAATCAAAAATGTCCTCTTCCAGCCTTTGGTCGATCCTAAAAATATTCTTTTACCACCTCTGCACATTGAATTAGGACTTTTTAAAAATTTTGTTAAGGCCATGGATAAAAATGGTGGTGGTTTTACTTATTTGAAGCAAAAATTTCCTAAAATAAGTGAGGCAAAGATTAAGGAAGGTATTTTTATTGGGCCACAGATTAGAGAACTGCTGAAGGACTCGGAATTTCAACAGCAATTGAGTTCAACAGAAATTAACGCGTGGAACTCATTCAAAAATGTAGTTGAGCATTTTTTAGAAAATAAGTTAGCTGAAAATTATCGCGATCTGGTGGCTAATCTAATTGATTCATACCAAAAAATGGGCTGCAATATGTCTTTAAAACTTCACTTCCTACACTCTCACCTGGACTTTTTTCCACCAAATCTTGTCGCCGTTAGTGATGAACATGGTGAGCGTTTTCACCAGGATATTTTACACATGGAAAAACGCCTCAAAGGAAATTTCACTAACATGTTAGCAGATTACTGCTGGACACTAAAAAGGGACTTACCAGATGCTCAATATGCTAGAAAAACATAAGTAAGTACCATTTTTTAAATTCACGATTTATTTGCTGAAACCCCTTGAATCACCCGTTAATCTGGTTGTCTAAAGAAAACTAGACGTGATAGAAAAAATCTAAGTCCAGATTTGGAATCAGCACGCAAAATACCTCTAGGATCACTCAATAACATATCTAGGATAAAAAAAAAATTTTTTTTTGTTGACCTGTGTTTTCAACTAAATTTTTATATAAAAGCAACTTATTATATTTGTTAACTTTGTTTTTCAATATAATTGTTGTTAAAACAACTCATACTCATACTCTTTACATTTAAATTCTTTTTTTATAACTTTTCAAACTGCAAAACAAAATAAAAACATAAAAATGCTTTTAATGGATATACACAATATATATGGATATACACAACTTCTTTATCTACGATTCAATGTCAATAAAAGAAATCATATACAAAAATTTTGTGTTTTTTATTAATGTATAACATATAATTGTACTAACATTATACAAATATTACTAATTGTAATAAAATAAATTATTAAAATAAAATATTATTTTAAAAACTTTTATTTTAAACAAAAATTAAACTCATAAGTACATACTATGCATAAATCATGTACTCATAGCATCAAAATATCAAACAAACAAAAAACAAGTATACATACAGAATCGAAATGCTTTCAAAAACCAATACAAAATGAAAGTGATCTAATTTTTTGGTGCAACGCTTTACTTTGCATTTTATGCAAAGACTTTGCAGTGAAATTTTTATTTGCAAAGTCCAAAGTAAATTATGTTAAGTCTTTGGTGCAACGCTTTTCACTTTTACTTTGCAAAAAAAAGTAACTCATAAGTTTTGCAAAGTGAAAAGTGAAAAGTGTTGGTGCAACAGGGCCCAGGTTTTCTGTAAATAATTAATAAGTTTAAGACACAACATGTATTCGCTCTTTAAATCGAGGATATTAATGGGAAAAAAGTTTCTATGTATTTCAAGAAAGTAAGGAAACCAGAATCGTGGAGGGTCACATATCCTAACTACTAATGTTCACACATTTATTATTATATATTTATCTATATGTAATTATTATTATTGTAAAATTGTATTATTATAATTATTGCAAAATATCAAGATTTACACATTTGATTATTATAAATATATTTATCTATATATAAAACATTTATTGTAAAATTTGAACATATATGCTGATGTTAGCAATATCCAAATTTTGGCTTCCTTTGCATTATTTAATTTAGTGAAATGCAGTGGCACTGAATTGAATATTTGCATTATTTTTTTGTTAAGTGCAGTGGCACTGAACTTTGAATATGTAATATATGTTATATCAAAGCCAGTGCATTGGCATTAATTCTTGATTGCTAGACACAACAAAGAATTTGGTTGCATAATATATGCTGAGCTTGCACTTTGGGCAAAAAAATGGTAAAGGAAAAGAATAAAATTTAGATATTGTTATTGTAATAATTTGTAATAATTTAGTATATAAGGCTGAATTTAATTTAATAAAAATCAGGTTGAAATCAATATATGATCTCTCACTTTCATTTCTAGAGTTTCAGTTCAAGTGCTGAAAACTCAACTTTCAAAATAAAGAGTTACAGTTTAAGTGCTGTCAATTCATTTTCTTAAGTGTTAATTCACTAACATTTAATTTTGGTGACCCCGACGTGATTCAGGATCACGACTTGGTGAAAATTCATTATCAGGTGAATCGCTTGATAATTTAACACAAATTTGAGTAAAGGCGTCCTACGATCACTTCAACACAGGCTTTGGTGTCAGCATCAACAGAGGATAAATAAAACAATTTTAGTTTCATAAGGTGTGAATCAACAAATCAACTAACTGGATAATGGGTTTCAGTTCGCTAGTGGATCGCCAAAAAGCATTGGGCGACAAAATCAAGCAATTTATTGGTATTTGCAAAAAGCTTGGAAAACCTCGCAGA